GAGCAACATAAAAAAAGCAGCCAAGTAAACTTCTGATGTACTGTGCAAACCAAAGAAAACGGTGACTGTGATCACACTCTGAATTGAATCTCTGCTCCCTCTTTTCTCTCTCAGAGGCTCAAAGAAAGTATGAGGACAACTGTGACTCCCTGCATGAGGAGTCCGTGTCAGAGACGGCAGAAAACTCCGGGGAGGAGGCCGGCGAGGGGGCGCTGGACGTGGAGGCGGGAGAGATGACCGATGGAGGCGAGGACGACTACGACGAGGAGGGCAGCCACCATCTGGTAAGAGAAACGGTTGACAGGGCTGACAGGGAGGGAGAGTGCAAGGCACTTTGGGAGATCTCAAGCAGGCAGACAGTCTTTGCCTTCTGAAAGTTAATTTTCCAGAATTATTCATGGCCACAGATCTGAGAGAGCAGGTCTTCACATGAGTGAATGGTGAGGGCGCCTGGACTGACAGTTTTTCCCTGTCGACCCCAGCTCAAACAGTGAAAGCAGGGCCCTTCACAGGCCCACACGCAGGCACAAGCTCAGACACGTACACCCACTTACAGGCTATAATTAAAGCACCGAGCTCAAAACGCATTGAAGAGCGTTTAAGACCGGACCTGCATGGACTGTTGTGGATCTGACCGTGAAGTGGTGGGTGTACAGCAGTATGAGGAGCTTTTCTTTCACAAGGTCGCTGAAGAAGGTCGCTGAAGAAGTAGAAGTAGAAGAAGCCAATGTAGAAAACCAACAGAAGCTGTTGCTCTCAAAGATTAAATTATTTTTCTTTTTCTTTCTTTTTATTCAATCTGTAAAAAAAAAATGTCAGGGGAAAAAATGCCCATTACAAATTCCAAGAGCCCAAGGTGATGTCTGCAAGTTGCTTGTTTTTTCCAACCAACTGTCTAAAACTCATTGCAGAAAAGCAGCAAATTTCAAGCTGGAATCCACAAATGTTGAGGTTTTTTACTTGAAGGTGATAATTCAATCAAATTGTCTGACACTCGAATACTGTAATCTGAAGATTGTTTCTTGTCACAATGCTTGGTGTCGTCACATTGATGAAATGATCCATACTTTTCGGGATTGCTGAGCTGAATGGTTTATAACTGACTTTTAAATTCAGTTTAGACCTTCGGGGAGTCACTTTAACAAATTTGGGCTAAAATACATTTTTCTGTGATAATCACTAGTCTATTCACCAATATTTTACTGCAACTAATGACTTCTTCTTAACATCACAGAGACCGTTTGACTCAGATTACACAGGGTTTAAGGAATTAAACCAATATTTCCTCCAAGGCAGCAACTAATTATTTCTTCTTAATTATCAATTAATTATTTGTTAATGGGTTCATCATTTTGTCTGTAAAACTGTCAAACAACAACAATTTATTAGCGCTCAAGGTGATTTCATTAACTCGCTTTTCTTAAATCAACAACTCACAACTAAGAAGTTAGGAAACTAAGGAATGTTGGACATTTTTTTTTTATAGAAAATGACACTGATCCATTATCAAAATAGCTGATAATTTCACCAATCAACTAATCGATAATCAAAACTCGAAATGTGCTCCGCATTAATTTCTATGTGGGGCAGGATGAGACACGTTCACTTCCCATTGCGAATTTAGCTGCGTATTTCCATATGATTTGAACTTTCTAACTCAAAATATCCTACAAAAGCTTTTTATCGGCTGTATTCAATCAACCATTCACAATCAGCTGATCTCAGTCGGTTGTGGCCGAGACTTGAAGACACCTATCTATTACAAGATGGGATGGAAGATCAAAAACAAATTTGAAGTGGTGTCTAATGAGAGTTTACATTGTTTTTCATTGAAAATAAAGTGGTTTTCTTCCACTTAAAAGTGGCATTGTAGCATTTAAAGTAGACCCTTTTTACCTTTTATGAAATTATTTGTAGCTATTATCTGCACACTGGAGGCTTTGAAGGACCAACGGTGGTCCATAGTGTTAAGTAATCCATATGGCCACTTCAGTTTGTTTCACAACGCACCATTTTTCAAGTTCAAGAATTGACATCGCAGTAATTATCCTCGGTTTCATGTGGGTTGAGCTGTGCAGTGTGGCCATGCTTTTGACCTGCTATGCTATATTTATTAGCCATTAACCAGCTGAGCTTGGGCATGCTATCCTCAATGAAAGCTTGGTGCCATCACTAATAGAAGACATCGTTTTTCAGAGACGAGGTGGAAGAGATTTATTTGTTTCCTGAAGGTCACATTGATCGCAGATGGTGATAATGTACCACAAAGTCTGTTCCACAGGTCAGCTTCGCTGTTCTTGTTGAGCGTATATCAGCAACGACCTTTTAGAAAAGGTTAAATACAAGCTGTGTGCTCAGTTTAAAATGCTACAATGTATCTGTGGTTTTACCTTCCTCTCTCTCCTTTCCAGATAGAGAACCATGTATCGGATATTGACAACTGAGATCAGGTGAGAGCTCTGGACTTCTGTTTAATCCAAGTGTCCATTACAGCAGCTGTTAGGTTGTTCTATAAGACTGCTTAAGGTCCTGCCGGCTCTTACAGCCAGTCCTCATTAAAGGGTCTTACATCCAGTCCTCGTTAAAAGCTGTAACCACTGAACTGTGTCTTGAGCATCTCTAAACATTCGTTAATCATCACCTAAGTCATAAGCTCTATGACATTTAGAAAGACCAGCTCCACTGAAGGGCGGCTAATGCCGAATTCAACAGTGGGAGCAATAATGGCATTCCAATGGGCCAGAACTGCCTATAAACAACATTCATCTAATTGAATTGTGCGGAAGGGGGTATGAATGGCGAGGCCCAAGGTAAAGAGTTTCCTGCCTCCTGCCTCTCGGGGTGTGGGTAATGATGCAGCCACATCATCAGTTGGCTCGGCACTGGCTGGCTCTTCATAGCGGGGGTGCTGAGCTGTGTTTATGAGTTGCGCACTGTTGATGTAACTTTGAGTTAATCTCTGTTACAGTCTTCTTTTTGCTTCTGGCTGAGCAAAATAAAATCCCAAAAGTGGCTCTGTTCATTGGAGACTGTAAAGCCGGGTTCATTTTTGGATTGAGTTTTAGTATTTTGACACATGTATATCAGTTTTGGTCACATTTGGGTCCCTTTGATCAGCAGTTTTAATCTGCTTTTAGTCATCAAAAACTAGTTTAGTTATCACCAGTGAAGTTTTATTCATGCATGTTTAATGTTTAAGGCTTTTAAGCTTTTCTAAGCTGTCACCATCTTTAATGTGTACAGTTACCATGGTTACAGGTGTTGTTCCTGTCCATTGCGAGGTTGGCAGAAAAGGCACTATTTTCCTCTTTGTATGAGAGTGAAATCCACACACACACAGTATTTATGTTATTCTCCCAAACTTCTCATCTATTTCTAAACTCTGCAGCTAAAAAGTAGATGTATTAGGGCCATTATTCCTACTGTCCGACATTAAGAAAATCGAATTAAAATTTACCAGCACTAATAAACACATTATTATATCATGTTTGCTTAATCCGCACAAAAAAGTAATGATGATGATGATAATGATGATAATGATGATAATGATGATAATAATGATAATAATAAGCACATTTCTCAAAATGTCAAAGTATTTCTTCAAGACTAGAATTAGAATAGAATAGTCAGTTTTTGAATCATGTATGCATGTTTCTTGTTTCCATGTTTCTGAGCCATTCATTTTCCACTTCCTGTTCATTTATTCCATAAATGTGTTCCTCTTTGAAAGAACATCCGCTAACACTGCATACAACAAGTCAAGCCTTTGCTTTTGAGCTGCATTTTACCACTACTGAGCACGCAATGTACCCCAATGTAATAATCATAGTTTTTGTCAAAATTACTTTTATTTAGTTTTAGTCCTATCTTTGTCATGGCTAAAGGTTTGCCAACAAATAGTTTTGTCACAGTTTTATTGACAAAATCAACCCCATGTTTTTGGGGGTTTTTTTTATACGAGTACTAGCAAAAAAGTTCAAAGCTAATACCACACTTTCTCCCATCTGCCTGTCCAGGCATCTGGTGTCTCAGTTCTTTCCACCTCTTAAAAACCGTATGTTACACTTCAGTTTTCTATTTCCTTTCCATATGTCTCCCTTTTTAAAATTCTATCAGCAGCCAAGTCACAAAACCTCCTCACAGCACATACATTTAAAAACCTGAAAATCCCACTCGAGCTTGTGGAGAATATATGAATGTTTGGCTTGCAGGCCTACCAAGGGTAGAAAATCACTGTGAGAAATACCTCAATAAGTCGTGTCCAGAAGGATTAGGGCAGCAGCTGCGGCTACCAGCAAATATTTCTGCACTTCCCAAGATATTTCTGAGGCCATTCAGAACGGACAAGCTTTAAAACTCAGGCTAATCCTCATCAGATTTACAGAATTATAAATAGCCACCATGTTTAAGGAGGAGACACAGTCCTATAATGTGTTTTCATCAGTTTTCTCCTTTATCACTTCAGGATGAGGCAGCAGACACCCCCGGTCGGCGGGATTAGAATTCATCATCACCTTCGAGAGACAGAAAAGGATCTCTGAGGGCTCAAGACACCCATTCTGGACTGTAAGTTGTGTTCAAGAGATGCTGAATCACATTTAGATGCCCAACTGTGCAGCACAAACCAAATGTGATGTGCTCTCTGAAGAAAATGTATTCAAGACCCATTTTAATGCATCGGCCTGAGTTTGCCTCATGGATATTCTGCGCAATTTATATTTCATTGCAAGAGGCTGACGGTATCATCTGCTAATCCTGTTCCTGAAAAAATAAAAAGAGAGGATGAGGGTTTTATTCTGATTTCTAAATTGAATTACGTGGAGAGAAGGGAACATGACGACGTTGATCAATTGTTGCTGCTTTTATGAAATGTGTTTTCGTTGTAATTTCACAAACAGTTTTTTATTGAATTTCTGTTGTTGCTCAAAAATCGAATGAATAAATGACAGTCAGAACAATCTGCAGTATGATATTCAGAAAATGAATGAAACATCAGTGCCGTCTGGTTCGGATTTGACTCCTTATATATAAGCCAATAGCTGTGAGCATAACTTTATCCAGCTTTATCCATTTATCACACAAATACCCTGTGGGGCTGTTCCATCATATATTCCAACTCCTGCCAAGTTTCAGAAGCAGAAAGAGCTTCCTGTGGTAGAGAGCCAACACTGGCACAGGCCTCCTGCCAGGGAGCAGTGCCCTAACGTCTCAATGCGCTGCTCCCCGCTCAGCCTGTGCATCCCAACATGGACTGCTGCTGTTTGGGAGCCAACGCCCTTTTTCCTCCTCCTCTAACATCTCCCTCCGCATACAGCATTGATTCTGTCTCATGTAGGCAAAGGAGCGAGGCCAGTTTTTTTTTTGGAAACGGCGGAAGCTGTATTATCTTTATTTATACATTAAAAGGCTTTGAGATTATCTAAAGTATGTGATCCCTGTTTCAGATCGCTTAAATTACGGATTAAAAATTGAATCTAACATGACACAACGGCAAATGCTTCCTAAAAACAGCCTAAATAAGTAGTGAAACAATACAAACCAGCACCCCATTTCTCTTGAAATGTCCATAAAAGTCAATATAGTGGTCAGATGAACTGGTCAGCAGTGGATGATTCAGTTGGTTACAGTTTACTAACATGTTCATGATTTCTACCAGTTTGGATCTGTCCGTTATAGCTGCCATGTGGAGCAGCTAACATGCAAACATTTCAAATGCAGCTTAAGCTCCAGCTGAGCCATTATAATTAACCTGATTATAAATAAATTGCTGAAGTGAATTATGTCACCAGTGACTGGATGTCAGCATGTTCTACTGTTAATTATTCAGTTCATATTTGCCCTTCTTCTTTTTTTCCCCAATATGTGACAGAGTATATTTGCTCCAAACAATGACATAGGCGTGTTTGTTGTCTCTAGCGTTCAGTTTCATTTTAAAGCCGTTCTCAGAAGGGGGTAGGTGTTGGGAAGTACAGCTAATATGCACCAGGTGTGCCAGCTGATTGACCGGTAACATCAGTTAGGCTGATTATGTGTATCAGCAACAACTTCAGTGCTTTAAAAGCTTTTAGGCGACTATTCAAACAGGTTTAATAGTGTGGACGTTGTGTGTTAAAGCCTAATTTATGTTTCTGAACAGTCAGCTGGCACACCTGGTACGAGCTATAACAACACCTCTGAAGGGGCAGTCGGGCTGGATTTCGCGTGGCAAAATCTTGCAGGTGCGACATAAGTGCGGAAATAGTGTAGATGGGGTGTAAAACTGCGAGAGCTAGCAAGGCTAATGGGCTAACATTCAGCAAATTGTACAACAATAAATTATACAGCTTCATACCAAATACTTAACTGTCATTAACTTCCGTCACTGTCCTTGCACTCTCTGCTGCTAAATAACATCTCTCCTTCCCTGCCGCTTGTACAACATCACAGTGCAGTGATACATAAACAGTCAGTATGTCCTGAATGAGAGGTCAATTCCACCACATCTCTTAAACTAGCTGGACATAGGAGAGCCTCGCAGTTTCAGTGTCAAGAGTTCAATCCCATCAAACTCTTCCTCTTGTACTTCAAGCTCGTGCTCTGAAGCATAAACGTCCGGTGTGACCGCATCACGATTCCTCCTGAGGGTGTTTTTTTTAAAGAAGTGAAAGCATGAAAGCAAACAGAAAATTTAAATAACTTACTGAATATCAGTAGAGAAGTCCTGAATTTATGTAAAAGTTGAATCATTGGATTAAACATTGGTAGTTTAATGAGTTGTTTCACACAAATTGCTAAAAAAGAAAACTAAAATAAACATGTCCCTCTCTCAAAGCTTAGTGGTGTCCATTCAAGCAGATAGGTTTGGTTTTATTTGCACAGGCTTTGAGATATCTGCCCCAGAGACTTGCAGGCAACCCAGTACAATCCAAGTAAAATATATTTAATTTGCAGCACTTGAAGCATTAAAAATGGCATTTGGAAAATTCAGCAGAAATCTTTCTGTCCAGAAACAATGTTCTAATCACTCTGAAGAATCCACAAATACCTCTGTAGACATTTTTCACTATTTTATTTGACCTTTGGTAAAAAAAAAAAAAACTTCTCATTAAAAACTGTGGATTAATAAATGGAATAATGGTGTTTTTATATGGATGTACAACACAATTAAAATTGTATTCACTCCTATTATATCTTATAAGCACAAAGCCTGGGCAAATAAAACCAAACTACCAGGGGTAAGTAAGAAATTATTGTTTTGATTTGGTTGAATTAACCCTTTACATACAGAATACATTTTTTTGCTCAGTTTCATGAAAACAGTCCACCCTGGCAGTGCTGCCTGAAAAAATACATAAAATAAAATGTCTGTCCTGCAGCTCATTCAAAATAAGTGTCTGGTGAATGATGATAATGTGTAATATTTAGCACTATTTTTGTATCCAAAAAACATGTCTAAGGGAAATGGCTCTGCTACATGTTTATCTTTTTGCTGGTAGCCTGTTATTTAATGAACAGTATGGTGATGTGTCAAATATTTTGCAAAAATGCTTAAAAAAAAAAAAAACCTCATTGCTTTTAACTGTTGTAATTTATCTGGGTCACTTTAAAACGTTTCTGGCTCAACGCTTCCTTTTAGTTTGCCCTGTAAATAGTCAAATTTATCACGTTTATTTCAAATAATAGACTGGAAAAAAAGAATTTTATTAAGTTTAAAATAACACTGAAATGATATACTGACAGTTTGTTGGGACCGTTGCAGGTTTTGCGGGGCTTGTAGAGATGTGTAACTGACAACTGTTGTATAGAAATGTACATTTTTTTGTAAAGATATTTTTATCAAAAGGCATGTTTACTGTAACTTTGTATTTTCAGTTCATGTATAAAAATAGTATATTCCAACTGTTGTAAGGCTAGAAAACTCATCGTCATTGTAGATAACTATTTGTGTTCTTATCAGTCAATAAAATGTTTGTGTCATATTCAACTAGTCAAATGTTTCAATGATCAACACTTTATTTTACAAATAAATATGAACTGAAGGACAAAGACAACCTTTTGGCTTTATTGTAAAGTCATACATAAATACAGATTCCATAATTGCTTACAGATGGTTTGCAGACATATGTAAATATTTGGTGCATCATTAAGGCATGCCACTTAAAAACCCATTCTCTCCACTCATTACCAGGCATCTTCCTTCAATGCAGAATGCTCATTTAAGCATGATTTATATAGTTGATTATGCAGCCCATGTGCCAAACTTGCCATCAAAATGACACTTTAACAAGTTGCACAGCTTCAGTGTTTGAATACATGTCAAATTAATGTCAGTCAACAGAAAACTGGACACCATAACGGCAGCTTGTCATCTTGTGTTTCACTAATGGCATCAGTCTCGCTGGCTGCCAGTTGATATCAGTGTACCTAACGCAATCTGACCATAGCAGCATGCCCACCTGTGGCAGTTAATTTTACACCCGACTAATAACAGTAAATGATTGTAAGAATGCACCAACCCGATCAAAACATATGCATTTCTGAACTAAAGATTATTTTTCTGAAGTTCAGAACTGGATGTGAAGTTTAATTTATTTTTTGTTAAATTTAGTACAAATACTCAACATAATTAAATCGGCCTGTCCGGGCTAAATCTGACACATGTACTCAGATCATATTGATTTCAGTTCATGTGTGTTGTCCCTGATATTTCAATGAATAAAGTGAAGGGGATGGCCTACATTTATATGGGAAATTTGTCCCAGCGTTGACAAGCTGCTAAAATTCACTAAAACCACACAGAGCTTCGGCATTAGTAAAAGTATAACTACAGCGTAGAAAGGGGAGAAGTAATGAAACACTATTTTCATGTAAGAAATAATTCTTCACACTTAAATTTTTATTTCTAGTGAAAACTATTCATCACCAGTGATTAGTGATTGTACATTTTTATAATAAACTGAGAGATTAAGTGATCCTTTATGGGTTGAGAAATCTGTCTGATTTCTTAAAGGCCCTCAAAATGTGTTTTGGAGGAGTTTCTTCTGAAATCAATGACCATCTCTTTAGTTTTAAAGGTCCAATGTGTAACATTTAGGAGGATCTCTTGACAGAAATAGAATATACTATTCATAGGTTTGTTTTTGTTGTGTATAATCACCTGAATATATGAATTGTTGTGTTTTTGTTACCTTAAAATTAGCCATTTTTATCTACAGACCAGTCCACCATCTTGAACCGCCATGTTTCCCAGAATGGACAAACCAAACAGTTGATAGGGGCTTCTTTTTTTTTTTTTTGCACATTTTCTGGCCACCATAGTTTCTTCTTTATGCTTGGAAGGGGAGTGTGAAGCGACAGTGTTGCGATCTACAACTACATGGCTAGATGCAACTAAATGCTACTGGACTGGACTCTTACTCTTAACATAAATAATACTAATAATAAGATTTTTTGTTTTGTTTTACTTATTAACTTGTTCAATTGTGAAGGTTTAATGTTATAACAACATTCTTAAGATTTGAAACCAAGTGTTTTTGGGGGTTCAAAGCTAAAATGGAAATAAATGACATGCACATACTCCACAAATATTTGCTATCATGTAATCAATACCATTGTTATGGCTGGAAAATGATAATACTGTAAATATGTAAATTGTGGAAGAACATATGAAACCATAGATTTGTTGTTCATTGACACACAACCCTCATACCATTCACATGTTTTTGACAGTTAAATCAATGTGTGGAAAAACGTATCCTTTTTGACAGAGGTAATGGAAATAAGGTGAGAGTTGTATTGATCCGTGGGGGGAAATATTGTATTGGTCAGAGTTCGGGATCAGCTCCAACCCAGAGGTGCCACTAGAGCTGCTGAGTAATTGCTGTCATGCTGAATGACATTCAGGCAGGACATTGGGGACTTGTACTTGTGTCCTCTGGTCAAGCAATAGTCTCCAAACTCATTCCACTTGCCCTCAGTTAGATAAAGAAACAGTCCAGCTCATGTTCTTCACTTGGGAACACACAACTTGATTTAAAGGTTGATTTTGACCCTGATTTGGCCTTGGGTATTTCTCTTTTTTTTTTTCTTTTTTTTTTGCACTTGACTGTGCAAAACTCAGAGCACATTTCAACATTGTACTTGTCCCTTATTTCCCCAATGAGTCTCAGAACTGTTACAGCTGGGACACATTTTTTTTTGTAGTTTGAGAAGGGTCCACTGAAATCACTGTTCTGCAAGTCAGTTCAATGTGTGATTTACAGCCTTTTCACAGTTGGATAGTTTTTCTAGTCCGCATGGACCATTCTGTTTTGATTGTGTCTACTACTGAAAATCATTTCTGAGCTGCCTGTCGCTGAAATCATTGTCCAAGCCATGTAATGTGTCCACTCCTATAATCTCAAGGGCATGAGTCTTAAAATAACACACGCAATTAATCATAAAGAAAGCTTGATTTATGCAGGATTTTCCAAAACATATAAGGTGTTTCTTGATCTAAAACAGCTGCTGCAATGAAGACAAGAAATTACATTAAAGCAAATCCTTCCATAAATGAGTGTTTGTGGTGAGATTAACGCCTTAACCTGAGCTGCTAGGTGTGTGTGTTATTAGAGATGTCCTCCTTGTTAAACTACAACATTCATGTCCTTGAAAGGTTTCAGGATGTCACTTCCACTCTTTTAGTGACTCTGTAAAGGTAGCTGGGCAGCAACAGATGGCCGATTTAAAGCCCTCCATTTATCCACAGTAAAAGGTAATGCAGTAAGGTTAATGAGGGCCAACGTCAATGCCACACACAATTAGCCCGCTGTGTTAAGTCCACAACACCAGTGGCTGGCATGATTGCACACAGCTGTTCCCGTTTAACCTATATATGGGCAAACATTTCACCCCGGCTTAATGCACTGGAGTTTATTCATTTATACAGAAATTACTGAAGCTTCTGAAGTGAAGAAAAAAAATTCTGCCATGATAGTGATGAAAATGACTACACGATTTTAATACCAGTGGAGCTGTTAAGCTTCTGCAATATTGAATTTTTTCACAGCTGTGGAAATAAAAAATAGATTATTGGTGCTGCTGCTGGCCACTCGGTCATCTCTGGGAATGTGTGTATATATTTTTAATTCAAACAAATGTGCTACTCAGTCTGGCCCACAACCATCAACTCGTATGTGTTTACAGCAGCTGACAGATTCAATTCACCCATTTTTGTCTCTCTACATTTGGGAAATAAATCTTTGCATATAGATTTGAACCTCTGAATTATCTCAACAATGGCAACCACATGGATTACTGCGATGGAAAACATATTTAGAAGCAGCATTTGGGTGATAACTCATACTCAAGATTTGAATCTCTTTCTATATATATATATATATATATATATATATGTGTGTGTGTGTGTGTGTGTGTATGTAAAGTATAA